GCAGATCAAATGTCCGTTACTTTATTCACTGAACTGATTTCTGAACTAATGTTATTGTGATACAGCTGCAGAATTTCAGAGCTCATTATTTCACTTTGATAATATTGTTTGAAACATATTGTGTGAAATGAATTAATTGCCTCAGACACACTGACCAATCATAAATTACATTTACCAATCCCCTGACTTTGACAAGTAGCAAACCCCGCCCACATTTTCTCTAATATATGTACAGCAGACCACTGCAGATACCTGTATTCAACACTTTAAGGAAAACAGGAAACATATCTAAGGGGATAGGAAGCATATCTATATCTATAAGTGACAGCCATTTTTATATAACATTATGCATATAGAATGCTTTAGAATTCATTTTTTTTACTTAACTTATTTGCATCAGTAATAATACAATAGAACCATTCATACAAAAAACAAATAAGTTTTTTGTACAAATAATGCCAACATGATAGGCTCATAATGCAACCAAAAATATAACATCTTTATAGCTGATTTTTTTTTTTTACAGTAATGTTTAAATAATAGGCTACTCTGAAAAAAAAATCTAATCTTTAAGGAAAATAAAGAAGATAATTTACTTTAGAAAAAAAAAAAAAAAAGATTTTAAAGCTTCATTCATGCTTTAAACAAGAAAATATATTTGCCAGGGGTGTAAGAATTAATTCATGATATAATCTCTGGAAGTAGTCTCTTAATATCTTAGATTCCAGTTCTCAAGTAAATATATACAGTATGAACAAGACAAAAACACTGATAAAGAAATGATTTTTGCTGTGATTAATTATAGCACTAGCTAAATTCTAAAGCTCAGGGGAGTCACAAAGCAGTCGGTGTACTTCGGTTTAATGCTCCGTCCAGTACACAGTTCAGCTCCCGTGGCTCCATACTTGTACAAAAAGGCCTCTGTCTTCATCAGGAAGCCAATATGGGGCTCTCTCTGCTTACTCTTTCCTCTCCTCTCTGGTTCTTTTTTCCACCCAGGAGCTTTTTTTTCACTCAGACCCCTCCAATGCAAACTACACTCACAGGCTCTGATGCTGCAAGTGTTACTTAGAAAAGAAAAGCTGATTTTATCTTGGTTTCTAAACCTTTACAAAAATAAAGAACAAGACTCACATCCGCTCCTGGTTTTCCTGGAAGGCCATTTAATCCATCCTTGCCATTGTCCCCATCAAGGCCCTGACGGATTCATCAGATTAATGGACTGGCTGCTCATCATTTCAACTATGCAGAATTATTTTTGTTGCGAAAAATATAAATACTTACTGGGGGGCCATCTGGGCCAGGGCCAGGTCCCCTATCACCCTGAAATCATACGAAATACTAACTAAATAACTCAAATAAAAGTTGTTATTCGAGGCTACACGAATATACCATACTGTAAGCTAAGAAATCAGAGAATCTCTGAGGAATTAAATAGATAGATAGATAGATAGATAGATAGATAGATATGTGACTCACATCAATGCCGTCAACACCAGAAAAACCAGGAAGCCCTGGAGGTCCAGGTGGTCCTCTTGGACCAAATGGCCCCCTCTAAAAAAAATACAACAATAATAATAATAACAGAAATGCATTTACAAAAACAAACCTCCGCTTGCTTAAAATTGATCCTGCAATCCCAATAGTTTTGTAGGTGTGACTGATGCTGTGGTTAGAGGTATCACATTGGCTCTCTCTTATCCTGGGAAAGTGATAACAGCTGTGCACACCTGGACCATTTTACTGAAAATATCTTCCATATGTCAAGCAATGCTCTCAGATGCTTGCACATTCAGATACACTAAATTAAGAAATATATGACATACAGTTCATAAATAGTGCATATGTGGAAAAAACGATCTTTGGTGCTTTAGTAGCCTATATATTATTTATTAATGTCTCATCAAGCATTCCTTTTCGGTCTATATATTTTAAATGTTTTTGTCTTTTTTTTTTTTACTATTAAGATATTTTAAAAAGCATACATTGACCCCAAACACCCACACGGTCCATCTCTAGTGCAAAAAAAGCCATTGTTTCCTACCTGTGCTGAGATGATCAGGACTAACTGCAGTAAAATCAGCAGCAGCGACGCGCGGAGAGCCCCGGCGTGCGCCATAGTCACCCTGATGACTTGAAGGAGGCAAAATAGTCCTTTTTAGGAGATTTGTTGGGGTCCACGGGTTTTGTGTCAATATTCCCCAAGTAAACCTCCACACCATCTACCAGTCTCTCGATGTAGTATTAAAAAGTTATGTTTATTCATGAGCCGCGCTGGGAACTGGAAGGTGATTGGATAGGAGCTCAAAGGTTTGCGTAAAATGGGCGTGGCTCAGGCTCGGATACCTGCTGTGGGTACCGCACGTAAACCTATCAAAGTAGGGTCGGCCTGGACAAGAAGTTGTGCAGCATGCTCCGTTAGAAAGGGCCTGATCTTTCTGATGTTGTGCAATGCAAACCTGCAAGATCGAGCGGTCTTTGCAATGTGGTCTTTGAAGGTCAGCTGGTCATCAAAGGTTACACCAAGATTTCTGACCGAAGTCAGATATTTAAAGCTGATTCAGTGTTAGTAAATTATTTTTTAAATTAATTTTATTGTTTTTATTTTATTAAAAATTTTTTGCCAGGCTGTTAGTACGGTACAGCTTCGTACAAAAATTAAATATGGTGACAACAGCCAAATTCCATTGTAACTATAATAATGTTTTATGCATAGGAAACATGGCGAGCTGTTATTTGAAGGGAAATTAAAATGACGTGAAAATGAAAGCTTCTTAAACGAGATCCCATATGTTATAACAGGTTTTATATTTATTTGCAAGGGACAATAAAACACATTTTTATGTATATATATTATTCAATCAAGTAAATAATCGGTAGATGGCTCAAAAAAAAAAAAGAATAGCAGTCTCCCATACGCCAGAGGGCGCTTAAAGCTGTTAATGGCGCGGTTTCTTACTCTTGCATCTTTGTATTTTGAAAACAGAAACCGACGCCGTTGTCCTGGTACTGAAGACAACAGTTATCAAATCTGACCCTTTAAAAAGGTGAGAAAACATTTTGCTTTAAACTTCCTTAATGTTTTCGTTTTATATGTTACCACAACAGCCTTCTACACTATGAACGTTGCTTTCAGTGAGGAAGAAATATTTTGTTGAGATTTGTTTACGCTTAGTTAGCAGATAGACGTTTTCTCTTGAGGAATACGACGTAACGTTATTTGAGTGATATCGTTTGTTTTGTTAATAAAAGATGGAGAGTCTAGACTTTTCTGAGGAGGAGATCCAGCAGCAGTTGGCTGCACTTGGATACAGAAATATTCCCAAACAAAGACTGCGGGAATTCAAGAGAGGTGGCATAATATTTTGAACCGTTTCAGCTTCATCGGTGCATTTATTTTGCATTTTATTTTCATGTTATGTAACATATGTTGCCTTAAAGTAGTGCTGTCCTGTTATACTGTAAATCTCCATCAGATCTAGATCAGCTGATTTGTCATGAAAAGTCAAAGAGTCACAGCTCCACTGACTGGACTTCTCCAACATCTCACAGCAGCAGCTCCAGCAGAAGTCCACCTGCAATTATTAAAGAAAAGGGTGAGCAGTCACTCCTGCTTCATGCTGTGCACTTTCATATGACATTTTTGAACATGCTTAACCAACCTACTGCTAAATTTGTGTTTCTCCCTCAGTTCAGTTGAACCACATTGGCCCCAGTTGTAACTACGTCCTCTTCAACACCAGCTCAGCAGGGCAACACAGAGAGGTATGAGTTTTTAACGCACCTTAAAAACATATCACAATTTTTGACTATGCGCACAATATGTATGTTTTCCATACCTAGATTTTCTCCTCCACGTTTAATGAGGACGATCATAGAGACTCTGGTATGAATCACTACTATGATTCATATTCACGGCACACAGTTGCTCAAAGACCGGCTCGGCCCTCCACGGCACCCAACAGGTTGGAGACAGAGGCAGGGCCTTCTGAAATATTTCACTCCGTTTTGGATGGTAGTGAGACAACAAGTCCTGACAGAGAACATCAGGTTCATTTGAAGCCTGTGATTAAAAGGAAAGTGTTAAGGTAGGGACACAAATGAATTTCTTCATTTGATAGTTGACGAGTACAACATCATCAGCCATGCAATAAACATGCAATGTGCAACAGAAATCATTATCTGATATCTCATTATATAGGAAGCATCAAGGTCGGTCTCAAGTCTGTGATGAGTCTACGCATAGTGAAGATTCTGGTAAGTCCTGTGGTTATGTTTTATGATAATGTTGAGAATGGAATAGTAATAAACATCGTACTAAATGCTGCAATGCTTATACTGTATACTGCTAACCATTAAAAAATAGAATGTGAAATAGAATGCATCATGCAAAAGTAGCATATTGCTTTATTTTTATATGATGTCATCATAATGCATCTACAGAACCAATTTTGTAGGACATTCTATGTACACAGAAAAACTGCATGTTGTGCACAATATACACTACCTTTCAAAGGCTTCATTAGGCTGCATTTTGTCTCTTTTTTTGATAAAATTCTATAAAAAACGTAATAATGTGATATATTATTCGTTTAAAATTAAATTTACATTTAGTCATTTTGCAGACGCTTTTATACAAAGCGACTTACAATTGGGGAATACATAAAGCGATTCTTCTTAAAGAGGCAAACAGACACAGGAAGTGCTTGAAATACCAAGTTTTAGGCATTGTTCAAATAAGTACAAGCTAGAAAGGGAAGGAATAAATAAAGACTGTTTCTATTTTAATATGTTAAAAAAAAAACATTACTGTAGTCTTCAGTGTCACATGATCCTTCAGAAATCATTCTATTATGCTAATTTGGTGGTCAAATAACATTTCTTAGTATTATCAATGTTGAAAACAGTTGTACAGCTTCATACTTTTATGGAAACACTTTAGATTCTCTGAATAAAATATAAAGGATTAATTTATTTAAAAAAAAAAGCTTACTGACTCCAAAAATGTGAACAGTAGCATTCATATTATATTCTGAAATGTGGTATGGTAGTGTTCTTTTCCGAACATAGCCATGCATTGTCTTTACATGCAGTGAAACCTCCTATACACCAGGTGGCGCAATCAGCTGCATAATCCCAGTAAAGTTCTTACCGGTAATCTTCTTAGTTACAGTCCCCCTCCCTCTCAGCCATCTGCTTTGGCTCAGAAGTGAAGTTCATTTTCTTACTGAGTGCTAAAGGAGAGACCTGTCCATCTACCTCAGGATGTATAAAGCTTTTGACAGCCGTTGGGAAAATGAAAGCAAGGACGATGAAGGATCTCTGTCCTCTCCCTCCTTCTGGACAGATCAGGAAAGTGAGGGGGAAGACAGGGACTGTGTTAAGAAAGAAAACAGAGCGAATGAGAGAAAGCCTGAAGAAGACCATAAGGATGTCAAAGAAAGCTTTTTAATGGGAGGTGATAAAAAGAAGAGGGTGAAGGAGATGCTTCAAGGAAATGAGTTGGGGAATGAGAAATATCCTGAGGAAGATGAAAGTGAAGTAGAGAGAGAATGTTTCATAGATGATGAAAATAAAAACAGCGTAGAGATAACAAGAACAAGACAAGAAGAGGAGGAAGAAAGTGAAAAGGAGGAGGAAGAATGTGGAGAGGAGGAGGAGGAAAGTGGAGAGGAGGAGGAAGAAGAAAGTGAAGAGGTGGAAGAAGGAAGTCGAGATGAGAAAGAAGAGCTGTGTGAACAACAGACAGGAAATGAAAAGGAGGAAGAGGAGGACGCAAAAGAAAGTGAAGAGGGGGAAAAAGGAAAAGAGCTTGAAGAGGAAGAAGAATTTGAGCTGTGTGAACAGGGGGAAGGGAATAAAAAGGAAGAGGAAGAGTCAGAAGAAAGTGAGGAGGAAGAGGATATGAGTGAGGATGAAAAGGACAATGAGGAGGAGAAAGAAAGCTCAGCCAGTGCAGAAAACTCTGAAGAAAATGAAGAGACAAAAGCCCAAAGTGATGATTCAGAGGGCGAGAAAGATCAGGTGAGTTTGAAGGAGAGTGAAGAAGAGGAGTCTTTTCCAAAAGAAGACTCAACAAGTGAAGAAAAGTGTACAGGTCAGTTATCAGAGTGTGAGGAAAAGAAAGAGAGCCTCACCAAGCAAGAGAGCACAAGTGGAGGTGGAGAGCAAAATAGCCATTTTTCAAGGGAAGGCGAACAGGAGGAAAGAGAAGAAAATGAAGGAGCTAATGTACGTTGCATACCTGAAGATAGTGAAGGCACTGAGGGAAAAATAGATGGTGGTAAATCTTTGGTGAAGGAAGAGAGAACAAGAAATTCTGAAAGCGAGGGATCAGAGAATAGTAAACAGAGAGCACCTAACAATGAGGAAGAAGAGCGAAACGAAAGTACAGAGGAAAACCCTAAAAGCGATGAGGAGAGGAATTGTGGAAATGCATATGACGAAGAGATTGAGATTGGTAAGAGCAGGCCTGGAGCAGATGAATGTGATTATTGGATGGAAGAAGTGAAACTACACAATTCAGGTGAAGAGGATGATGAAGTATCAAAAGGAGGCAGTGAGGAAGAAGAGAAGAGAGAGTGGTTTTTCAATGAACCTGTTGAGGAGAAGGAGGCTTGTGACCAGGACAGGAAGTCATGGGCAAGTGATGATGACTATGTTACAATAGCCAGTGGCCATTCGCAGAAAGAAGAGGAAGAGAATGATAACATGATGCCTGCTTGGGAACAAGAGCGTGGTGATGTACAGCAGACGAAGGAAACTAGAGACGTTTATGTTGAGGATTTTCATGAAAGTCTGGGCAGCCCTGCGGCAAGTGTTTTAACTTCCGGTTACGGCACGTACAGACCAGACTCGCCTAAAGACGGAGACCCAGAGGAAGTGGATTATAGAGACGACTGCACTCTGGGTGGATTAGAAGAAGAGAGCCAATCGGTCTTGGATGCTCGTGATTACGAGGATGACAGCGGTCCGGCGTGGTTCAGAGACAATCAAGCATTAGAAACATCTGATGGACGAGCTCCTGCTGAATCACCGGATGGTAGTCGAGATGTAACCGTCTGCACTGATCAAAGCCATGATGGATCTGAAGATGAGGGCCGTCGGTCTCCTGATCAAACCGAGCAGCACCAGAGTCCCACAGAGGACGACACTGGAACTCGAGATGGAGGCTCTGAGAATGTGTCATATTTCAGTGACGGTTGGGACAGTCTTGACCACCCCTTTAATTTGAGGCACAGGAGAGGCATAGTTCAAAAGAGACCTGAGGAGAAACAGTACAATGATGGATATGATGACAGCAAGAAGAGGAGGAAGGAGAAAAGAGTCCGAGCTTATACTGGCTGCCTTGGTGTGTTACACTGCTTAAAGAGAATGACTTATTTTGTCGTTTTTAGAGGTGTGACTGTGGAGGAAACAGAAGAAACACGTGTATTTATCTTTTACCCATGCATATATATATATATATATGTGTGTGTGTGTGTTTGTTTAATAAAAAAACCTACATCTATACACTACTGTTAAAAAGTTTGGGGTTGGTAAAATTCTAATTTTAAAGTAGTTTTGTTTTGTTGTTTTTTTTTGTTTTTGGAAGAAGTATCTTATATTCACCAAGGCTGCATTTATTTGGCCAAAAATACAGTAAAAAAAACAAAAACCAGGACCATTGTGAAATATTATTACAATTTAAAATTACTTTTATTTTTTCATATATTTTAAAATGTAATTTATTCCTTTGATGGCAAAGCAGAATTTTCAGCATCATTACTCCAGTATCATATGATCATTCAGAAATCATTATAATATACAGATTTTTTTACTTTTTTATTATTATTATCAATGTTGTAAACCGTTTTGCTGCTTATTTATTTAGTGGAAACCATGATACTTTTTTTCATGATGTTTAGATTAAAAAAAAAAAAAAGTTTTTTTTTAAAGTAACAGCCTTCATTTGGAATAGAAATCATTATAGACGTTATTATAGATTTGGTATGTTTAAGATGTGTGTAATCATATACTTGTTTTGTAGGTGCAGTTAGTGAGCTGGAGGAGCGTTTGGACCAAATGCGGATTGGTGCATCTCGTGTGCACTACGACTCAGAGAGTGAAGAAAGCGGAAGCTATACTGACAGATCCAGCTCTGTGACGGAGGAACCCCCGAGTGCTTTCCAAGAATACATCAAAGGCATGGTCAGTACACAGACACTTTCACACTGACCAGTCTTGAACAGTTTTGAGTTTAAACATACATTTGTCCATTCCACAGACACGATCACACAGCGAGAGCGATATCCGACCACGTCCAAAGTCATGCAAGTCCCATTTTCAAGTCTAGTTTCAGTTCATGCCCGTTTCTTTGATCTTGGGTTGTCAGTTAACATGCTTTTACAATATCTGATTTTCTTCAGTTATACGGCCACTTTTTGATCATCCTCACACAAGGAACTTGAAGAAAACTGATCCAGTGGCGAAGTATGGCATACTTCTGTATTAATATATAACCTTCATAAATGAAATAAATGATTCAGAACTCTGATCTTTTTGTTGTTCTGAATGCGTTTGGATCCTTTTTCAGGTATTTCCAGTATAAGCAGGACTGGGAGATGTTTAAACCTCCAGGAGAGAAGAGCAGGAAGGAGCTGCACTGGGCCATCAGGGTATCATAAATCACATTGCTAACCCAACAGAGATCTGATCTGATCATCATCAGTTTGTCTGGAATGACATGAAGAAACAGAACTGAGACAGACTCAATCCAGAAGAACTGTGGCAACATCTCCAAGATGCTTCAAGAAACCTTTCTGCGATGCTACCTGAAAACTATGCGCAAGTCCATCAAGGACAATAGCTGTTTTAAACGCAAAGGATGCTCACACCAAATGTTGATTTGATTTAATTAACAGATGTTAATTGATAAAGAAAATCTATTTATGACATTATTTTTGAAAGCATCCTCATTTTACAGCACTTTTCCACAAGTGCCTAAAACTTTACTGTAGCTTTGCAGGAAGGTTTGTTGAAGCGTCTTGGAGACGTTGCCACAGTTCTTCTGGATTGAGTCTGTCTCAGTTTGTTCTGTTTCTTTAGGTCACTCCAGACAGACTGGATGATGATCAGATCAGATCTCTGTGTGGAGCACTGGCTGTCGTCAGACAAAAATCTCACTGGATTTCACACACAACGTGGTTGATGCAAAGATACAATTTTTTCAGAACCGATCCAATCCGATACAGAAAATTCTGAGCGATACTGATACAATACCAGCATTTTTTTTTAAAATCAGTGTAGAATTTCTATACTTCTATGTGTTGACATGATCATCACTCTTTTGTGTGTTATACACAATCTGCTAAATATACAGTGGTGGCCAAAATTATTAGAACACTAGTATTTTCAGCAGTTAAAAATGGTTTTAAGTCAGTTAGGTAGGTCTCTTGCAGGTAGGTCTCTTGAAACATCTTGGAGACGTTGTCACAGTTCTTCTGGATTTTTAGTCTGTCTCAGTTTGTTCTGTTTCTTTAGGTCACTCCAGACAGACTGGATGATGATCAGATCAGATCTCTGTGTGGAGCACTGGCTGTCGTCAGACAAAAATCTCACTGGATTATTACAATTAATGGCAAAATGAATGTTTGGGAATGTAAACTGATATTTCCTACTGACACACTACAGCAAAAGATTGAAATAACTGACTTTAAACCATTTTTTGGTTGGTGAAAATATTAATGGCCTAAGCCTTTTGCACAGTAGCATATATATAACGTTATATAAATTGTAGATTACTTTTATTTTAAATATATATATACTTTTGTTTTTATCCTCAGGAACAACTTATGTATCAGCCTCCACCAGTAAGTTTCATTATATATTTATATTTTTGAAAGAATTTCCTAGATTCTCTTATTCGGAGTACTTTTTCTTGTCTCTATAGCAGAGACCTCAGAAGACGTACATCCCCAACAATTATGTGGTTCCAACAGAGAAGAAGCGATCTGCACTAAGATGGGAGATCCGACATGATTTAGCACATGGCATTATCCCAACAAAAATCTCCTATCCTTAACACAGAGAATCTTCCACCTATGCCTTATCTTTTATATATATATATATGCTTAATGCTATTATTTATTCATGATATTGACATTTTTTTACTCCATTGTACATGTGAAATGAGATTTCAAGATCATTGTTTTTATGAAATAAACATTTTAATACTTTGAAGTGTGTGCTGTGTTCATGGTAGGTCACTGTATGGGAGTTTGAAGGGATACAGGGGAGCGTAACGCACATCGTGCCACAGAAGCTTCTTTTCAAGAAATTTTACAGCCTCCAGAGTGAGAACCAGACTCTCATGTTTCAACATGCTGTGGACGTTCAGACCTGAAAAACAAAACAAGATGATATGCATCTATATTAAGATCATAAAGGAGCTTTGATGCAAACGTTTCATTCCCTTATGTTTGGTTTCACATTACAGCTTTTGGTGTGGTCCGATTGTTTACCTATAGCTGGAATGATATTCACTGTTTTCATATCTTCAGTCGCCTTAAGAATGTTCTGAGGGAATTCATCACCTCTGAAATTGAAGCAAACCAAAAAATATTTTTAAAAAATGAAGAAATTACTTATGGAAACAAGCATATATATCAGGTTGGTAATGGCATATACATTCACTTTTGCATACTTACACGTCAACGATGAGGACTGAATCCCCCCACTGCCTGTGTTTGACCAGGTCCAGCAGGTAGTGGGGGTCTGGAGTGGGAATCTCCAGTGAGTCCACAATATGAAGATAATCCTGGAGAAAAAATGACTTCCACTTAGTTTGTATTTTTTCGTCTAACTGAATATTATGAACCAAACCAATTTGCTGCCCTCACTAACAAGTGCATCAGTGAAAGCTTAAATAAAATATAAATCTTAAGATGAAAAATTTAACAAAATTAGAAATGACGCATTGACATCAAACTACAAAAAGCAAGCACATAACTAAAACAAGCTAAAAATATAAACATACAAGTTGATTAAAAATATGAATAAATACTTTAATTGTACATAATGCAGCACGTTCCAAACCAAGCGAGATTTTTACAGTGCACCTCCCCTCACCTGAGCCAGCTTGGCCGTTAAGGCGATTTTCAGCCCTTGCACTCGCACCTTCATGGGCAACATGTAATAATAGCTGCTTGGTCCCCGTGGACCATGAGCTACTCCTCCTGAACGAGAAAGAGGAGCACTTGTTTAGGAATTTAGTGAGCCCACTGGTAATGTCATACACCTGTGTGTTTAAGATGATGCTCAAACGAACAGACTTTATCTTACCTCCTCTCCACAGTGGAGAACGAATGCTTCCATGTCGTGCCCGGCCACTTCCTTTTTGATTCCATGGCTTCCTGCCTCCACCGCTGACTTCAGCTCTTGATTTGACTTTTGCATGGCTCTACAGTCATACGATTATATATGATTATCATATGCAAGGATTCAATATGACTGAAGTTTCTAGAACATGACAGGGACGGTATCTTAAAGGAATAGTTCATCCAAAAATGTACTCACCCTCATGCCATCGAAACTGTACAAGAGTTTGCTTCTTCATCTCTACATTTGAAGTAATGTGGCATTAGATCACTTGCTCACCAATGGATCCTCTGCAGTGAATGGGTGCCGTCAGATTGAGAGTCAAAACAGCTGATAAATACATCACAATAATCCACTCCAGTCCATCAATTAACATCTGGTGAAGTGAAAAGCTGGAAGTTTATAAGAAACAAACTCGTTATTAAGGCGTTTTAAATTTAAACCAACACTTCTTGCCATAATTTGAAATAATGCTTCCTCCATTAAAAACGTTTATCCTAGGGCTGGGCGATCTAGTTAAAAAAAATTATCAACGATGTAATGTTTCCTATCGTTCGGTATCGATAATTATTGACATTTGTTATAACCTTTTTTAAAACAAAGAGCAATAGAATTTTTTTTTTAATTTAACCACTGTATTTTTTAATTAACCCAATTTATTGAGACAAACAACAAATATTTTTAATATTTTTAATAAAAATTGAACAAATATCTAATTTCTAATCTAATCTTTTGGCTTGTCTCCCGAGACCACAGGAGGGCACAATGAGCAAAATAATGCAGCACATTTAAATTGTCAACGCAAGGAAATAAATGTCTATTAAAAAAAAGTGCATTACGTCTATATTAACTCATATAAATCAAATATAATTTCGTAAATTGCATGAACAATTATGAACAAAACTGCATCATGTATTTATGCACTGCTTAATACAAAGAGCCGAATCGCCCATTACGCATATTGCATTTAAAAACATAAGCGACGCAGTGAAAAGGAATAAACCTCCACAAATTCGCGACGTGTTTTCTAAATGTTCAAACTGTTTTAACTTTGCATGGCTACATTGTGTGAGACGCAAGTGCAGCAGTCATATTTGTCCGTCTAAAAATGCGCTGAATGTGCGTTCTGTGTGAATGGCTTGGTTTCGGTTTTAACCTAATCAAGATCTTCTCCGCATTGAGCTTCTATATTTCTCTAATATTTTGAATGAATAATGCAGCAGCGGCGCGTCTCGTGGGCTAGACTAACAAAACATTAAAATGCAACAACGTCACTTACATCACCGTATCTCGTGCGCCACTGATGACGTTTCCTGACGCACTCCTAACATTCAAATGCAAATGTTTATTTTAAATTCGAATAATATTAATCTCCTCATCACAGGCAGGCACAGCACTCATTTCAGCATGTGTTCGTGTTTGTGTGTGCTGTCTGCGTCACTCATAGCACATATATTGTGTGCTATATCGAACATTTTTTTCAATCGTTATCGAAGAAGGTGTACCGTCGATAAATATCGATACCGTTTTATCGCCCAGGCCTAGTTTATCCCCTGTTGTCTTCTAATATCAAAATCCACTCACATATTTGTATAGCACGGTTTTGTTTTTTGCTTGAAAACGCTTGAAAACACAGCTTTCCGTGGTGTGGTGTGGTGTGGATTATTGTAATGTTTTTATCAGCTGTTTGGACTCTCATTCTGACGGCACCCATTCACTGCAGAGCATCCATTGGTGAGCAAGTGATGCAATGCTAAATACCCCCAAATCTGTCCAGAAGAAGCAGCAAACTCATCTACATCTTAGATATTGAGCAAATTTCCATTTTTGGGTGAACTATACCTTTAATGCACATTACAAGAGCAAAGTTAACACCAGAGAGCATAATGTGCACCTCATAGTTACTTACTATTCGTTTGAAATTACGTTGCCAGACCTCTACAGCATGAAGAATGTCCAGCCTTTTAATAGAAAAACAAAAACAATCATATATTCATTTGTTTGCAACATAACTCCAGACCAAAAATCCTTCCTAGAACCAAATAGTTTACCTAAGAGGTACTGAGAAGACATCAGGGTGCAGGTCAACCACACCAAGGGGTTCACTGTCACGACTTCCCAAAGACTCAAGCCACGTCTGAGCGAGTGTCAGGTGAGCTGGGATATCAGCCTCGCACCTGCGCAGCACTGGAAGATCAGAGCCGGATGGAGAAGCCCTCTCTAAAACCGTTCAGACCCGTTTAGTTCACCAATATGTCACATGCCTTATAAAATTACATTGTTGCAGTTCCTTTGGCAACGAACAAAAATTTACCACGGGAAGTTCCTGTCAAAACTTAAGTTGTTATTACTGTAAAACAATATTATGGCAATATACACTACCGTTGAAAAGTTTGGGATCAGTAAGATTTTTAATGTTTTTTAATGAAGCTTCTTTTGCTCATCAAGGCTGTGTTTATTTGATCAAAAATACAGAATAAAATAATAATTTTGTGAAATATTATTGCAATTTAAAATAACAGTTTCTATTTTAATATACTTTAAAATATAATTTATTCCTGTAAAGCAAAGCTGAATTTTCAGCGTCATTACTCTAGTCTTCAGTGTCACATGATCCTTCAGAAATCATTCTGATTTATTATCAATGCTGGAAACTTTGTTCACAAAAAATTGTGCTGCTTCATATTTTTTTGGAACCTGTGATACTTTTTTCAGGATTCTTTGATGAATAAAAAGTTTTTAAAAAACGATTTATTCAAAATAGAAATCTTGTGTTACAATATACACTACTGTTCAAAAGTTTGGAGTCAGTAAATTTTTTTCTTTCTTTTTTTGAAAGTAATGAATGCTTTTATTCAGCAAGGATGTGTTAAACGGATAACAAGTGATAGTAAAGACTTATATTGTTAGAAAAGATTTCTGTTTTGAATAAATGCTGTTCTTTTTAACGTTTTATTCATCAAAGAATCCTGAAAAAAGTATCAGAGGTTCCAAAAAATTATTAAGCAGCACAACCGTTTCCAGCACTGATAATAAATCAGCATATTAGAGTGATTTCTGAAGGATCATGTGACACTGAAGCCTGGAGTAATGATGCTGAAAATTCAGCTTTGCATCACAGAAATAAATTATATTTTAAAGTATATTAAAAACCAATATTAGAAATAAAAAATAATATTTCACAACATTACTGTTTTTTTCTGCTTTTTTGATCAAATAAATACAGCCTTGATGAGCAGAAGAGACTCCATGTCATTTGGTTAAAAAGCTTTATAGGTCACAATAGTGGCTAATAGAAAGTTCCCCCAGTTTTATTGTGGCAGCAGTTCTGCAATTGCATAATTTAAAGATATTATGGTTACCATGGTATACTTTTGTCTCAAGTATGTAGAAAAAGTGGATAAAGCAAAACCCCTAAAAGTAATAATGGTGAATAATGCATTACCCAATTATTAAAGGGGTCATATGATGCTGCTAAAAAGAACATTATTTATAAATCTTAACCAATGATTCCTAATTGCATCTACTTCCGGAAGGCCAAATAAAGTGCTTTTGCACTTTTGCATCAACACTACTGCTGTTCCTGAAACCACGGCTTCTTTCTTTGCGTGCACATTTGGGCGGTGTTATGCAAATCTTCCCACATTGTGATGTAGACATGTGGGGGCGTGTTAGAATGAGCCGTTTTAGGTAGGCGTGGTTAACTCTTAACTTTTATAAAGAATATCTCTTTGGATTTGAGACTTTAGTCTTTGCAACTTTACAGATCTTCTTTATGCTCCAAGAGCTTGTAACACTCCAAAGAGAAAGGAAAAATTGAAATCGCATCATATGACCCCTTTAAATATGCAAAGCTTTGCTTACTTTGTGGCGCGACTCCAATGAGATTTGGTGGGAGTCGCAAATTTGATGGAAGTGCGCTTTCTCCAGAGACAGATGAGATGAACTGATTGGAGAAAAATCACAGGATAACTCATCCGTGTGTTCCAGCATGACCATCAATATCATATTCACACGCGTTTGTATTTTAGGAATATTACCAGCAAAACAAAAATAATGCAAATCGACGCGCTTACTTACCCTTTTAGCCACCGTTCTTCCACATATCGCTAACGTAGCACGAAACATGACGCGGGCTAATTAAAATAAATACTAAGTCAAGTGCACTGCTGTTATAATTTCAGCTTCTCGCATATTTGGTTTCCCTGTCAGAAGGTCGTGATGGTGTGCTCTTATGTTCACGCTTCCGTCGCTCACATATGACGTAAGTTACGCTGCGTGCGACAAATAGAAATATACGCGCATACCCTCTTTCTCTTTTATTCTTTATTTGTGCGTTCTTATCATGATTGATAAGTGTCACGTTCATTATATAAGATGTTTGGTGTTTAAAAAAGTACTGTTAATGGTTAATGATACTATGTAGGGCATCTGCAGCGGTGTTGCCAAGTTTCACTAGAGAAAATACGCTATTTAAAAACATAATAAGCCCAAAATAAGCAACCCTTTCTGGAAAAACAAGGCCAAAATAAGCGACGCATGCAGCTCTGGCACGTATAAAAGCAGCATTTAGGTGGAAAAGTATGACACAGAATCAAAGTTAAATCTATAAAGTTAATTTACATTCGATGAAAATAAAGCATAAAAAGAGACCATTCTAAAATGGAATAAATAGGCCGTACACATAAAAAATATATAAAACATAAAAAAAAGACATTAAAGAATGAAATGGGTGGAAATGAAAATTGTGTTTTTATTGATAATTTATGTTTGTAACTTACAGTTTTGTGAATGAAATGCTACAGGTATTCATCCATAACATTTTTCACATTTTTAATTTAATATTTGTACAAATTACGCAATAAAATTTAACTAATAAAATTACTAATAATACAATGTAAAAATGTAACTGGTTAATAATTTATAATAATGCTTACTTCATAATTTCAAAATGACATTTAAAAAAATAAAAAATGGAAATCCCACCTTGTTATTTGCACAATAAAAAAACGGAACACAATTATAAGTAATGCTGGACACAGAGCAATTTTCAAAAATAAGTGGTTATTTTATTTGTATCTTACAACTACAGGCGCAGAAGATTCTTTGCTGCTTATTAGTCAACAGACTCTTCTTCACAATAGGCACAGCCGTACGACCTTTGTCACAAGGTGATTTGTGTGATTGCATAGTGCAGTTTAAAACCTAGAATTCACATCCTCAGGTCAGTAAAAGACAAGCAAATGCACCACACAACCTTTTTTTAACTCCATCAATAAAATGTCAAAAGAGAACTTGTGTTTGACGTATCAAGTGCAATCAGTTGTGTTGATATGCCATCTAATTTGACAAACAAATTTATAATTTGCATATTAAAAATCAACATATTCCCTATAGGGTGGTGATGGTGCAACTCAAAAGATTTAAACAAAACTCCAGGCAAAGCACTTCTAGTTCTTTGTTGAAACGATGAACAAAAAAACTGCTAATTATATCTAAATGAGAAAAATGTTTAAATTGTGGCAAAGGTGTAATTTTGGCAGCTGGAACATCAAAATCAAAACAAAATTTCAAGTATGATTTTAAGAATCCCAATTAGAATAGTCCACAGGATTGATTCCTCTTCTTCCATCACGTCTGCAGGGCCCTGAGAGTGTTGAGACTGACCAGGAGTCTCATCTGAGGAGTAAGAGTTTTTCTCGATTTCCTCTTCTGTAAGTGCCATCTGGTCATAAAACACCTTCATCTCAAACTCACTCTCCATGTAGGAGGGATGTCCGTAGATCCCGATTCCAACAGGCCTAACATAATCCCCCGGGACAAGCACCACGTCCTGGCCACAGGTGGTCGACTGAAGCTTGTAGGTATCAAAGTTTGGCCGCAGCGTCTTGTCAGAGACGTAGAGGTCCGCATCTCCCTTAAGGCTTTGCATGTACAGGATAATGCGTCCTTCGTGGTTGAGGCGCAGGTAGCTGTAGTTTCCCGCACCGATGTGGCCTTGCACGACATGGAGCAGGACCCATTCATCCGGCACAGAAGGCTCCTCTGAATGCTGCAGAGAGCCCAGGGCCCGGGACAAGGCTGCCAGCACCAACAAACCACCCCAGCACAGCACCATGGTCACAGCTGCCAGACCCCAGCTACATCTGTAACCTCCCTGCAATCACAAAAATAGATTCTTTCAGTATCATCGGGACTCAGATATTCAAAAAATATCAGATTTTGGCATTCGGATTGGATCCAATTTTGACAACGGGTTCTTTAAAAGAAAAAAAACGCTCTGAAAACAAAGTAAATCTTCACTGCTGTATAGTGTTGCTCAAAACATATTAGTAGTATTGGGATACATTAGATAAAAAAAGAAAAAAAAGAATCTGGATTACCCTGATTGCATCAGAAGGGTGGAATAAAATGTAACAAAACTTTAAAACTGTTTAACTAACATTAGTATTATGTAGTGTATAATATATTTATATTTTGCACTAAACACTCATGTTGTGTTCCAGTCATTTTAACCTGGAGAGGTCTTTTTCCCCTGGAAATGCTAGTTATGTTATCACATTACATTAAAACCTTCTGACTTTACTCACACAGGGTATTACAACTTCCCAAAAAACTGGATAATTTTTGTAAAAAAAAATTTAAAATCCCCACGTTCTTACACCTGTGGTGTTCCCAGTCAAAAATGACTAGCCTGCAAAAAAAAGTTGCCTGTAAATCTCTCATTATGCTATATTACTACCAAATATTGGATTCAAACTTGCTTTCTTTTAATTAGCACAGTTTTTTTTACTTCTTGATCGTAGGCTTCACTGTTTATGAAGTTCATGCACCTCAGTTTTAATGTTAATTAACGTTGTTGTTTTTTTACTCAAAAACTGAGGTGCAAAAGCTCAGATCAATGAGGCCAGTTCCAAAAAGAAATACAAACCCTGTTGTAACTGAATGAAAAGAACAAGACAAAAAAATTGAACCTAAGATTTGGTGACAATATAGCATAATGAGAGATTTACATGGTAAAGGATTCTCAGCACAGCCCAAGGGTTAACCGTTAACCATGATAAAGTAGAAGCCTAAAAGACGTCTAAAGTAGCCTAATTAAATTTTTTTATTGTTTTTAGTGCTGTTCTTTTTTTTGTCTCACATAAACAAAAACACAAAGTGACCCACCATTGATTATTCTACCTCTTGATGTTTATATACAAATCTAGATCTATATTTAGAGCACTGGTAATCTGGATTTGGTCAAAAGTTTGTTATCTGGATCAAGGCGGTGTTTCTCAAAAGCATTGTGTGAAAAGTTGCTTGTAGAGACCATTGGTGGGAATGGATCTAAAAGATGAACGAGATGAACAAACTCAAGAGTTGCGGAGTAAGTTTTGAGTTGACAAAACCCGATAAAGCCAACGTGGTTTAGATCAGGTTCACAAAGTTCGATATAAACGTTCTCTGACAACTCAGAGTTTGTGATTAACTCTGGAGCGTGTGCACCTGAAAGTGTGACACGTGCAGCAAACAGCCAATCACACGGAACGTGGAGAGCGTCAGCAAAGTGTCCTTGGATTCACTTCTCGCGAGAGTCAGCGCAATTCACTTTTCTGCTGCGGATTAAGAGATGTCGTTATTAAAAATGTAATAAATTTAAATGCATTTACAAGGCAGGAATAAACACTGCTGCTGCAGCAAAAGTTTGAGAAGGCAACAGAAAGAAAATATAAGACTATGCAAATGAATCAAATGAATTAAATTTTTATATAGTTTCACACAAGGCTCAAAAGGAAAACATATAAATTTAGTCATTTTAAAAGTTGGATATATTAAAACTTATCTATATGTATGTAGGATCTCTGTCTTACAACGGACCCACTCACACTATGGAGCCACACATGAAACAGTTACATTCCATTGAGACAAACTGAAGTACCCCTATGCTACCAGCTGCGGTCGTAAAACTCATGCAGGGTCAGTGAAGGGTTGAAGCAGTTCCTGGACTATTTATGAGAGATTTACATGGTAAAGGATTCTCAGCACAGCCCAAGGGTTAACCGTTAACCATGATAAAGTAGAAGCCTAAAAGACGTCTAAAGTAGCCTAATTAAATTTTTTTATTGTTTTTAGTGCTGTTCTTTTTTTTGTCTCACATAAACAAAAACACAAAGTGACCCACCATTGATTATTCTACCTCTTGATGTTTATATACAAATCTAGATCTATATTTAGAGCACTGGTAATCTGGATTTGGTCAAAAGTTTGTTATCTGGATCAAGGCGGTGTTTCTCAAAAGCATTGTGTGAAAAGTTGCTTGTAGAGACCATTGGTGGGAATGGATCTAAAAGATGAACGAGATGAACAAACTCAAGAGTTGCGGAGTAAGTTTTGAGTTGACAAAACCCGATAAAGCCAACGTGGTTTAGATCAGGTTCACAAAGTTCGATATAAACGTTCTCTGACAACTCAGAATTTGAACCAGAGTTTGTGAGGAGCCTGTGCACCTGAACGTGTGACACGTGCAGCAAACAGCCAATCACACGGAACGTGGAGAGCGTCAGCAAAGTGTCCTTGGATTCACTTCTCGCGAGAGTCAGCGCAATTCACTTTTCTGCTGCGGATTAAGAGATGTCGTTATTAAAAATGTAATAAATTTAAATGCATTTACAAGGCAGGAATAAACACTTCTGCTGCAGCAAAAGTTTGGCAGCTGAAAGAAAATATATGACTATGCGAAGAAATCATATTTAAATTTAAATATAGTTTAGTCATTTAAAAAATTGGATATATATATATATATAATTTAAATACTAAGCTTAAAATGAATTGCCACTTCATATAATAATTATATGAATATATTATATGAATTATAAACAATTACAATAAATCTAATATAAATATAATAAATAAGTAGCTGCAAAAGCCGGGCAATTTTGTATCTAAAATTCTTTGACTGTAAACTGCTTTAATTTGGATTTGCATCAGATATACAGTGGGTACGGAAAGTATTCAGACCCCCTTAAATTTTTCACTCTTTGTTATATTGCAGCCATTTGCTAAAATCATTTAAGTTAATTTTTTTTCCTCATTAATGTACACACAGCACCCCATATTGCTCTTAGGAACCTTAAGTGCAGCAGAAATTTTTTTGTAACCTTGGCCAGATCTGTGTCTTGCCACAATTCTGTCTCTGAGCTCTTCAGGCAGTTCCTTTGACCTCATGATTCTCATTTGCTCTGACATGCACTGTGAGCTGTAAGGTCTTATATAGTCAGGTGTGTGGCTTTCCTAATCAAGTCCAATCAGTATAATCAAGCACAGCTGGACTCAAATGAAGGTGTATAACCATCTCAAGGATGATCAGAAGAAATGGACAGCGCCTGAGTTAAATATATGAGTGTCACAGCAGAGGGTCTGAATACTTAGGACCATGTTATATTTCAGTTTTTCTTTTTTAATAAATTTGCAAAAATGTCAACAATTCTGTGTTTTTCTGTCAATATGGGGTGCTGTGTGTACATTAATGAGGAAAAAAAATTAACTTAAATGATTTTAGCAAATGGCTGCAATATAACAAAGAGTGAAAAATTTAAGGGGGTCTGAATACTTTCCGTACCCACTGAATGTCACTTTGCTCACAGCTGATTGGTCCAGTTTGGGTTTGCGATCTCTAACCCAGAGTAGTGTAAGTTACTATGGTGACGAAACCCGCTCAAAGCCAACCCATCTTCTTGAGCCCGAAAACTCAGAGTTTGCTCAAACTAAACGTGAACTTACCTGGGTAAAAACTGAAACCGGCTTCGTACTACAGGCCACAGGTCTTTGCTTTGAAAAACCAGAACAAAAATAAAATACACCCGATCCTGAAGAGCAAAACGTCGAATTTCCAAAACCAGATCATTCTTATTGAGATTTTTCAACAACTGGGCTCTGGACCTGATATGAGACTACACTGAAACACACTAAACAAAACAAAGATTACTGGAGTACATTTAACCAGAAGATACTGTAGAGTTTTCCTATTCATTTTTTCATTCAGTGTATTATTTGCTGTTTCTTTGTGTTATCTTGTTAAATTTGTTTTTTCTCAGTGTACTTGAAGTGCTGCGTTTCCTGTGACATAAGGCCAGGAGACTTTTCCTCTAGAGGCATTCTGAATCTAAACCTAGCATAGCTGTGAAACGACACCATTTGACAAGTCATACATCTGGACCGACAGCAGGCTGTTAAAAATATCTGTCGCTATTTCCAAGCAGCCACACACAAACAGGCCATGGTCATGTACTGTCAGTCCAGCCAGGAAAAACCATAACGTTACTCGAATGAAACTCTACATACTTTAACCAAACAATGCATCAAGACGTCTTCGCAGGGCGTACGGACAGTCCTGAATTAGTAAAATAATTTTGGTGCATAAACAAACAGTTGAAAGCGAAAGCATTAATTAAAAGGTGACATTCAAAGGTCTATTTGAACATAACAGCGCTTAAACATAAGCAGACTGACACAGCCAGTTAGCTTCAAAAGACTCGTTTTTGAAATATACGATAGCCTATAAAATTATTTAACGTTACTCAGTGCGACATACTATAACACACTCCGTTTCTAAACTAAAATGACTTCTAATTCCTGAAGGTTGCACTAAAGAATAAGTGAGCTATTTAGCTAGCTAGCTAGCTGGCTAACAGACCAGTTAGTTTTGAGGAAACTGAAACAAAAGAACAATTCGTAATTAACGCAGGTGCTTTGATATGTTGACAGATATGTATTATTTTGACTTACCGGTGCATTGTCAAAAATACTCCATGGGAAAGGACAGTCGGCGTCGTTATATTTTGAATTTGCTCTTACAGGTGTTGAGGCGACTACTGGACGCGCTGGGACTTGATGGCGTTATAATGCGCATGCGCGCCCTCTGTTGGTCAGGAGGACAGCAGAACATCACAGCAAGCGATGGAAACGACATTGTAGTGAAATTATGTTTCAAGAAAAAGCTACAAAAAATATCAGAATTGTTCTGCTAGTCTTATTTTTCCCCTTTTGAATTATTATTATGCTTATCGCTTGTTTTAATAACATTTTCATCTCTTTTGTTTAATGACCCCGGGGGCAGATCTATGATTTTTTCCCCCGCCCTTTTTCTTATTGTTTTGTTGGGTTTTTCTTATTTATTACAAAGAAAATGAATTATCTAGTGATATTTGGAAACAGCCGAACATTATTAATGGACGAATTAAATTAGGCCTAATAGTGTTATATAGCCTACAGTTAACATTTAAATGAAATAAGCTACGTGATTATGTGAGAAGTGTTTTATTCTTTAAAAGGCCACAGGAGTGACAATAGTTGAATAATTTTCAGTTTTCAAAGCACTTTATGAGCATGATTGGTTGTCAACCAAAGCATCAATACTTCAAATAAAAAAAAACACCAACAAAGGAGGTTTTTGTTGTTATTTTGCATTATTTTATTTTTTATAGTTTCTGCTTTTATATTTTAAATTTAGTTTTAGTAGCTTTGTTGTGTTTTTGACATTAGTTCTAAAAAAAAAAATCTATAGTTTTTATTCATTTGTATTCGTTTGAATTTTAGTACATCAAGTTAAACAGTTGAAATGAGAAACTTTGTCTTGGAAACTTGCTGAAATAAAATACGTTTTTATAACTTTTTATAACGTCTTTTGCGTTTGTATCCGCATGATGACAGTGAAAGAAAGATTTATAGATAAATATGATTAATACTTAAATAATTTCACGCTTGTCAACTCCAGATAATCGCATTGTCTCACTTTCAAATTTGTAACATTTTTATATATTTATTTATTTTATCTTTTTAGCAGTGGCATTTTTAGGCGTTGCACTTGTTTGTTAACATTAGGGACACTACTGTATGTCATGTCAAATGATTGGTATTATATCGCCTCTCTCAGGAAGATATGTGATATTTCTGTTCGTATGCAGCGTCTGCATTTCTTGACCAGACGGAGGCGCCGTTTCACACTTTAAATCATAAATGTTTTAACCATAGACTGTAAACATTTTAAATATCTCTTGACTGGGCAGGCCCATTGTCTGCACACTGAATCATCATTAATTATAATTCAGTCGTATGTAATATATAGGTTTCACTTACTATTTAAAATCAAACAAGATCAAAAAAGATCAAACTAATAGGCTACAATAACAGTTTTTTGTTCAGCTGCTTACACAAAAAAATCTTTACTTTACAAAACCTGACACTCAGACACCAGAACCACATACCAAATCTGCAAAACCATACACTAATTCTCGGCCTTTGACTCAGTTTTCAGTTTCATAAAACACTTTTTGCAAAACACAACACACAATTCTCTATGTAGCACACAAAAATCTAACAGGAATTAATATTATGGCAAAGGTGTTTGCAAATGTTTGCTTTTGAGATGTGTTTGTGATATTTTAAATGCAGTGCTTCATTTTGCAAGAGATGTGAGGCATTTTGCATTTTGTGTGTGCAATTCTTGGATTTGTGTGTAAAGTTTTGAAAAAAGAGGCAACGTTTTGAAAATGTGTGTAAGCAGTTTGGGTAAAAACTGTACATTTAAAGCCAGTGTATAAAACAATCCTGCAAAATACTTGCCTAATCTGGACACTGTACTTGCTTTTAAAAGTACTTAAGTACCAAAATTTAATTTGCTTTTTTATGTCAATGTTTTATTATTGTTGTTATACTTGCAACGTTATGCCTCTGAAGCAACTTACAATACATTACAGCTACTGAATACACGGACTAGCTTGTAGTATCTTTGGAATAAAGAGCTTTTAGAATGTTAAAAACATATAGAAATGAAACTAGTGTCTCACAGCTAATGTCAGTGTAGTGTTGTTTATCTGCACTAGAGGGCGCTGTGAGCAGCAGGTTGAGCAGCAGCGCTGATACTCGCGGCTCTCGCCGGGTTCAGTGGCGGCGCCTGTAATCCAAGCTACCGGGAGGCTGAGGCTGGCGGATCGCTTGAGTTCAGGGCTTCTTCTGGGCTGCAGTGGACTATGTCGATCGGGTGTCCGCACTAAATTCGGTATCGATATGGTGCTCCTGGGGGAGCTCGGGACCACCGGGTCGTCTAAGGAGGGGTGAACCGGCCCAGGTCGGAGACGGAGCAGGTCAAAGCCCCCGTGTCGATCAGTAGTGGGATCGCGCCTGTGAATAGACACTGCAGCGCAGCCTGAGCGAGACAGCGAGACCCAGACTTTTGCGTTTACTCATAAATAACTTCCAGGCCAACTATAAAATAAAAGCCTTTCTGGCCAAATTTAGTTACTGTTATATACTGTGGGACTTTAAATAAATGCTCTAATTGTTAATATCGAAATAACTTCCAGGCTTACTGAACAAACAACAGAAAATTATTTACATTTTACATTTATTAATGTGTTTTGTAATTTTTTTTTTTTTTTAGCAAATTCTTGATTTTAACATGGCAAAATGTAGCATATAACAGCATCACATGGCCAATAGGGGGAGGACTAGACAAGCAGGCAAGTCCAAGAGTGAAATTGTTCATGAAAAAATAAAATAAAAAATGTTTAATTTATTTAATTGTTTACTTATTTGCTTGTATTATTTGCTGTAAAATAAATACAACTCTGAAAATAAATACTGGTCCTTACAAAACTCATTTCTGAGTGTGGTCTATATGGTATTTTCTGCTCTCGAGAATGTGTCTGCCATGTGTTTTGCACCATTTTAAATTTTAGACCATAGTATTATGCAAAATAAAAACACACATAACAAATATTTCTTGACAGCCGTTTTATTTTCAGAGACAGTTTTTTCTCACATACAACAACATAACAGTGAGTGTCTTTCGATGTTTTATAAGCAACACATTTCCTCGTTTCTTGTCATGTCACAAACTGTGTATCAACACTCATTTAAAATGAAATGTCTGCATGAGTTTGAATACTGTCTCACGAAGCGGCATGCTGTGACTTTAGTAAGTACGGTGTGAAGTGGTGGTGGTTTGCTTGATTTGGATTGTTGGTCCACCAGTTGTGATGGTGTGAGAACCACCAGAGGATTGAGATCCACCTGAGATCATGATAGTTGATCCTGAAGGACAAGAGGGAAAGAGTTATTAATGTGTAAGGTACAACATACACTGGCCATCCTACCAGAAATTACAAAGAGAGATTTCAATTACCTGGAATTTGAGTCCTGGAAGAGTAAGAGGAAGAAAAAATTAATTAGTGAAGCCTGGACAAGATAATATAACATAATCCATGCTCCGCCGATTTGAACTCACATTAACTTTTAAAAAGAACCAACTTACTTGAAGTCCTGATTTTCCAGGAGGTTCCTGTAGGTGGCGATCTCCTGCTCCAGACGTGTCTTGATGTCCAACAACAAGGCGTAATCACGTCCCTGTTGCTCAATGCTTGCCCGCACTTGACAAAGCTCGGCCTCCAGCATGTTGATTTGGTTCTGGTAGCCTGCTAGCATAGCGCTGTACCTAGCCTCTGTTTCTGCCAGTGAGTTCTCCAGTGCCGCTTTCTGTTTGAGAACATGCACAAAAACATAATAAAGCACCGTTGCTCTGCTTGTTTTGAGTCTTGCGTTATATTTTCCTACCTCTGGTTCAGATAATCTATCTAATCTCGCTCTACATTCCACTTGTGTCTCACCATGCTGAGTTGAGACTGCAGCTCGATCTCCAGACTCTGTAAGGTGTTTCGCAGCTCTGTGATCTGCGATCTGGACGTATGTATGGTCTCTGTGCTGATGGCCACCTCTTTGTTCAACCCTGCCGTCTAAACAATAGACAAAACCACTATATCACTAGGCACTACTACAAGTGACATTCAGGAATATGTGGTTTATTATTCAGTGAAATCTTGATAGCAAAGTGGAATTCAGATTTAGACTGGGAGAAAGAAGAAATCTTACCTTGTCTTTGAACCAGGCCTCCTGTTCCCTGCGGTGTTTCTGTATGATGTTCTCGTAATGAGAACGAATCTCCTCCATAACCTTGTTCAGGTCTTGCTGAGGAGCAGCATCAACCTCTACGTTCACTGTGCCTGTCAGCTGTGACCTCAGTGCAGCCAGCTCCTGTAATGTATAAGAGAATAGAATAGAATGGAATAGAATAGAATAGAATACTCCAAAATGTAGGATCAGTTCTACATAGATGATCTATCAGAAAACCACTACAAACCTCCTGGTGGTTCTTCTTCATAAATGCCAGCTCTTCCTCCAGACCCTTGATCTGCATCTCCAGGTCAGCCCTTGCCAGGTTTGTCTGGTCCAGCAAGCGGCGCAGGTTAGCGACGTCAGCCTCCACAGACTGCCGCATCACCACCTCATGCTCATATCTGATTGACATAGGGAATAAACACACCAATGTCATAAATACACACATGCACTACTGTTCAAAAGATTGGAACCAGTAAGTTTTTTAACATCTTGCGAGAAGTTTCTTATGTTTACCGAGGCTGTATTTATTTGACCAAAAATACAGTAAAACTGTCATAACGTAATATGTTTTAAAATGTAATGTAGGCCTATTTCTGCAATGTCAACGCTGGTTTGTTTTAGCAACCATTACTTCAGTCTTCAGTGTCACATGATCCTTCAGAAATCATTCTTATATGCTGATTTGCCGCTCAATGCTGAAAACAGTTGTGTTGAATATTTTATGCATCAAGCTGGTTGTATCTAAATTCAAAAGATTGCGGTCAACGCTGTGTAGCTTACTTGATCCTGAAGTCATCAGCAGCCAGTTTAGAGTTGTCGATCTGCAGGAGGATGTTGGCGTTGTGGATGGTAGCGTTTTTAATCTGAAATGTAGAGGATTTAATACATGAGAACTTGCTTTATATGGACATAGGCTATCATCAAACTCTGAGAAAGCAAGTATATTTTTTTAGCTGCTATATCCAAAAGAATATCATTGCACTAGAAAGTGCTAGTAATGTTTCATATTCGTTCAGGCATCACTGTACCTTGTCCTTCAGGTCCTTGATGGTGTTCCAGTAGGCACTGTAGTCCCTCTGGCAGATCGGCCCTTTCTTCTCATAGTACTCGCGGATCTGCCTCTCCAGGATGGCATTGGCAGCCTCCAGCGAGCGCACCTTCTCCAGGTAGGACGCCAGACGGTCGTTCAGGTTCTGCATGGTGGCCTTCTCATTCAGCTGGAAGTCATTTACAAAGCAGCCTCCAGGCATTATGCCTGCTGCATATCCTCCGCCATAACCTCCACCGTATCCACCACCAAAACCATATCCTCCACCATATCCTCCACCATATCCTCCGATTCTGGATTGCAGCGAGGAGGAAGAGATGCGGGTGCTTCCACCTAAACCACCTCCATACACGCTGTGGGCTTTCTGTGGAAAGAACGTGGAACCACCCCGACTCTTGGTGATAATGGACTTTGAGGTCACGGTCTTGGGTCCTTTGGAGGACGTCATGCGAACAGAGACCGACATGGTGGATGGATAAGGAGATGAGATGAACCCAGAGAGGAAACCGTTGAGAGAGTTGTCCAGACGAGGATGGCACCTTTGAGTCCAGCTCTGACCTCTTATAGAGATGCAGATCCAGGGCGGCTCCAGGACTTTGTGGGTGGGTGAGGGAGGGTAGGGTGTGTGTGGGAGAGTGTATGTGTGTCAGTCCCAGCTGTCACCACCAGCGGAGAAGAAACTTAAAGACCAGTGTTCAGGTTCCACCCTGGTGAGGAAGCTGCTGAGGAATTTATGTGTTAACCGAATGTACTCATGAGATGTACTCACCCTCAAAACTACAATGGAGGGAGTGCAGTAAAATAATTAGGCTTGCGACACACACTGTGTGTATGCAAGTTGTGTGTGTGTGTGTGTGTTTATGAGAATGTGGCCAGTGTTTTGTGCCAATGGAGGAAATCCCTTCGACAGTACGGTGCCGAAAAAGGTGGCTGAGCTGGTAATGCAAGGTTGGACATTTTATAAATTCACCATTTTCATCATAATAAAGAAGGATTTGGCAGACAGGTAACTCCCTGAAGTGATGTGAGATCATCTGTGGCAGTTTCACCTCCCATTTACAGGTCACACGGATCAGCTTGAGTAATTGCATGCCCAGTTTGGTTATTTTATTTTATTTTATTTATTGTGAATGGTGCATGTGTGCAATATTTTAATATTTATTTAGTATGTAGACAAAAACATGAGGGAAAAAAGTACAAAAGATTCCACTTTTAATTTTTTATTTGCTTGTGTGCAAGTTTGTCACAAAGCGTGCATTATATGTCTAAATTAAATGGTTTATTTTAAAACGTCTATTTTCCTAGTGTCCTTTCTATTAAAGCTTCTTTATTCTACATCTGAATCTGAGAGACAGAGAGAGTTAGTGTTGTTTATCTGCACTAGAGGGCGCTGTGAGCAGCAGGTTGAGCAGCAGCGCTGATACTCGCGGCTCTCGCCGGGTTCAGTGGCGGCGCCTGTAATCCAAGCTACCGGGAGGCTGAGGCTGGCGGATCGCTTGAGCTCAGGGCTTCTTCTGAGCTGCAGTGGACTATGTCGATCGGGTGTCCGCACTAAGTTCGTTATCGATATGGTGCTCCTGGGGGAGCTCGGGACCACCAGGTCGTCTAAGGAGGGGTGAACCGGCCCCGGTCGGAGACGGAGCAGGTCAAAGCCCCCGTGTCGATCAGTAGTGGGATCGCGCCTGTGAATAGACACTGCAGCGCAGCCTGAGCGAGACCCAGACTTTTTTTGTGTGTGTAGTTATTTGGTGTGGGACTATTTAATTATAATTAACATGTATAATTAACATTATAATGGTATTTATAAAATGAAAAACAACAGCAACAAATAATAGTAATAACAATAATAGTAAATTAAATGATCTTTCGATTGTTTGTAACAAACTCGTACTGTTCCGGAAGCTCAAACAGTGTATGGTGCTAGAAAAAGTTATGGGTTCGATTCATAGACTGTATAAAAACAGGTTCGATTCCCAAGGAAGCATAAAAATGTCTGCCAAATGCATTAAAGAGGAATTTTAAGAAGGAGAATTTTATTTCAATATAAGTGACGTATTTTAGAGCTCCTCCTCTCCATCTCTCACTCATAGCAAACTAGGGGCGTGGTTAAGGATATAGAGTGGCGGAACTATGATGTCACTTTGTAGGCAAAAATCCGGAAGCGAGTTAGCATTTTAGCACTTCCGGTTCCATCGTCCCAGAGTCAATGGTTTTTTTGAATGGGAGTTTGGTTAAATCCCCTAAAATAAGGTCCGTGGTTCACACAAGCTCAAGATACTTTCACATTTTATTCTACGACATAAAACACACCAGTTACACCCCACTCGTGTTTTTTTTAAACTGTTACATTTATTTAAAAAGACGGTTGCTAACAACCCAGCAAGCAATAGCCGTCATTTCAACGTCTCGGTTAAGTATAGACCCGATATAGTCCGGCTATGTGTAACCCACTTCTAGCCCAAATAACCTTGAATTTGGTTTCATGTCGTTTTTTGGCAAATGATTAGACGTCTATTAGATTTTCACTGACAGCCCAAATTTAGCCTTGTTTTAGCCTAGACTTACCGTCTATTAGATGTATATATGTAGTCGTTTAATAGCGGTCTAACTGATGACTAGTCTATTCTTGGGCTATGATTAGACGTCTATTAAATTTTCACTGACAGCCCAAATTTAGCCTCGTTTTAGCCTAGACGTCTAGGCTATATTTAGACGTCTAATAGACGTCGTTTAAACGCAAAATTGCTTGCTGGGAAGTTGCTAAATGGGACTACAGACGCTGTCTCTGAGACATTATCGTCATCACGCCGAACAGTTTATCAATTTACAGTAGGCTATATTCCAATTGTAGTATAATTTATAGTACAATTAATTGTAGAATAACCAATTAATAGTTTACCGCATTTTATATTGTTGCTCGACAATGTTTTTTTTGCTTTGCCCCGAAATGCAACACAAGTCTTTGGATTAGTGATGGAAATTTTGATTCTTTCAAGAGATTTCGTTCATTTTCAGTTCGTTCACTAAAATGATTCGTTCAGATTCGTTCACTGATTCGTTCAGTGACCATTTCTTCATATTACATAAATACGCCAGCAGGTGGCGAAAAAGAGTGTCTTATGTGTTATGTTTGGTCAGACATTTACACATTCATAATTCGGGGATTAAACGTGGAGTTATGTTCTGTATGCTAAATATGAATATATAAACAAGCGTATGTGCACAGTACCTATAACTGCGTTTTGCATCTGCTGATTGCTGTTCGAGATTGATATGCTAAATGGCCGACTGACCAGATACACTCTCATTCATTTCGTTCACGAACGAGATATGTACCAGTTCGGTCATTTCGTTCATGAACGAGAAGATCTCTCGATCTCGTTCAGACTCAAAAGAAACTCGTTCAGTGAAGGGCGTATTCGTTCACTACATTCAACAAATCACATGGTCCGTCACATCTCAAACTCGAAGGCTATTGGCTCGAGGTTTAGTCATTCTTTGACAGGATGAAACAGTTCACAGAGCTACCCGGTTCACTGATCTGCGCATGCGCTGCCAATAGCGCCGCGCTGCTCTGGAGGGAGGAATATCAGTGAACGAGAAATATGAGTCAATGGATTACGTGAACGAGAACGATTCGTTCACCAAAAAGATTCGTTCAAAAAGAACGATTCGTTCGTAACAACACTACTTCGGATGGAAGATGCTCGTTTTATCGCTTACTGATACGGAGACTCTGGGTTCGGACCATAAGGTAAACTCCATGTAAACACCACATTCACCGGCTTAGTCATGGTGCAAGTGAAACTTTAACGATGCACAGTGCTTAAAGCCACGTTCAAATGAAATGTTTACGGCCACAAGCAGCTGTTAGAAAACATATAGATTGAGGATTTCCTAGAAGCAATGATAAAATAACATTTTGAGTACTCATCCTAACAAAACGATAGCTGAAATATGGTACTTTATTCACTAAAATAAGTTTCATGAGCAAGGACCACACGTACCACAACCAAATATGTAAATGAATAGTTTATTGTTCAGAATGTTAGGGATGAGTTGAAAGTGGATGAAAAGGTAAAGGGGATAGGATGATGGTCAGGTTGGTCTGGGCATCTGGAATTGATGGCCCGGAGAGACTCAGGATGGGGGTATCAAGGGGGTATATTTTCGAGGGAACCAGCGCGAAACAGTCGATCCGCATACAAAGTGACGTCATAGTTCCCCCACTCTATTCTGCCCAAGCCGTCAAACTGACGTCATAAGAGAAGGAATGCCATTCCAGAGCGGAAACAAACGTTCAGATTTGATTAAAGATTACCACAACAAACTTTTTTTCCCCCAGTGGAATAATTTGCACGGATTAATTGTTCACCTCAAGACTAGCAATGTGCGCTAACAAAGTAATTAGATTAAATATTGATTTCATGAGGACTTTAGTCTAATGGACTGCAGTCTACAATATCCATGAATTAGCACGTCTCTTTTTTTCGCTGCCGTCTCGGCATGAGAATCAACATTCTACAGTAAAGTGTGATACATTGTTTCCTGTGATTGTGATCCCAGTATAAATGCATTATGCCACAGGAGTCAGTGTGGCAGAAACAATTTCCATTGAGATACATGTAACAGATAGCCTAGCTCTTTCCAGGCATTATAAACTGAAACAGTCAAAACTGAAAGAGAACAAAAGCAGAGTCAGTGAAAACTGTTTCTGGACAGGTCTTTTTAAATTTTCAAATGGAAGATTTCATTATGTTATAAACAATTTAACAATATCACAGAACACATTGAGCAATACAACACTGCACCACCCCACATGAAAAAATACTATAGTAATTTATAGTAAATACTATAGTATTTTTGAACCATACTATAGTAAGGTGTATTACTCTGTATATATTATAGTATTTACAACACTTTGTTAATGAATGCTAGAGCATACTGTAGTATTAACTATAGTGAACTGATAAACTGTAATAAATACTGTAGTATACTTTAGTTTTTTTACTACAGTAAACTGTAGTGTATTGTAGTATAATTTACCCTATAGTTGTAGAAACCGTAGAACAGTATTGGGTAAAGTAATTTGTTTATATTACTATAGTTGTTCTATTACCACAGCAACTATAGAATTACCACAACAAATTAATTCAAGTACTTTATTATAGTATGGTTCAAAAACACTATAGTATTTATTATAAATTATTACTATAGCATTTTTTCATGTGGCACTGCCAGCTTTTGGTAAAAATGCCTTACCACACCCAATCGACAACCTCTGATTGCAGCAACTTGTTCTGAGACTGTAACACAATTTTATTTCTGATTCATAGCATTTGCTGAAGTCAGCAGGACTGGAACCAATCAAACAGCAAAATCTCAGCTCGTCTCATCAGTCGGCATCTGATCAAAAATAATGCCACACCTATGTCTGCCAATGAGTCTGCTTTCATGTAGAGACACAGTTGAGACTTCATTTTGTACTATTTTCTCTCTACATTTCACTAAGTCTTTT